ATCACAATGTCTGACATCCAATCAAAAATAAACAGTGATACACAGGAGCAGGAAAATATAACCCAAAATGAGAAGAAAAATCAATCACTTAAGACAGGCACAACATGAAAACATGCTCATCATCACTATTAGAGAAATGCACATCAAAAGTACAATGAGGTACCACCTCACAGTGGTCAGAATGGCCATCATTAAAAAGTCTACAAATAATAAATGCTGGAGAGGGTGTGGAGAAAAGGGAACAATCTTACACTGCTGGTGGGAATATAAATTGGTGCAGCCACTATGGAAAACAGTATGGAGGTTCCTCAAAAAACTAAAAATAGAGCTACCATATGATACAGCAATCCCAATCCTGGGCATATTCCCAGACAAAACTATAATTTGAAAAGATGCATGCACCCCTATGTTCATAGCAGCACTATTTACAATAGCCAAGACATGGAAACAACCTAAATGTCCATCAACTGGTGAATGGATAAAGATGTGGTATACACACACACACACACACACACACACACACACACACACAATGGAATATTACTCAGCCATAAAAAAGAATGAAATAATGCCGTTTGCAGCAACATGGATGAACCTAGAGATTATCATATTAAGTGAAGTCAGTCAGAAAGACAAATATCATATGATACCACTTATACGTGGCATCTAAAATACAACACAGGGCTTCCCTGGTGGCGCAGTGGTTGAGAATCTGCCTGCCAATGCTAGGGGACACGGGTTTGAGCCCTGGTCTGGGAAGATACCACATGCCACGGAGCAACTAAGCCCGTGTGCCACAGCTACTGAGCCTGCGCGTCTGGAGCCTGTGCTCTGCAACAAGAGAGGCCGCGACAGCGAGAGGCCCGCACACCGCGATGAAGAGTGGCCCCCGCTCGCCGCAACTAGAGAAAGCCCTCGCACAGAAACAAAGACCCAACACAGCCAAAAATAAATTTATTTAAAAAAATACAACACAAATGAACATACCTACAAAACAGAAACAGAGTCACACAGAGAACAGACTTGTGGTTGCCAAGGGAAAGGGGGGCATGGAGGAGGGAAGAATTGGGAGTTTGGGATTAGCAGATGCAAAGTAGTATATATAGGATGGATAAACAACAAGGTCCTACTGTATAGCACAGGGAACTATATTCACATCCTGTGATAAAACATAATGGAAAAGAATATGAAGAATATATATATGTATTACTGAATCACTTTGCTGTACAGCAGAAATTAACATTGTAAATCAACTATATTTCAATAAAAAAAAAAAAACAGGTGCAGAATGACAGATAGTAAAAGTAGAAGACATTAAAACAGAAAAATTTATCCCATATGTCCAAGAAGCTAGAAGAAAGAATGAACATGTGAAGTAGAGACATGAAAGACATAAGGAAGACCCTAATCCAACTAAAAGAGATAAAAACTATAAATTATGATATGAAATACACTGGATGGGATGAAGGGGAGAGTGGACATAGAAGAAAAGATTAGGAAACTGGAAGATGTAGCAGTAGAAGCTATTCCAAATGAAGCCAAGAGAAAAAATATATATATAACAAAATTCATCAGTGATCTTTAATAAGCAATTCTCATTATTTGCGAATTCACCTATTCACTGAACTTTATTTGTAACTCCCAAATCAATACTCATAGCATTTTTGCAGTCATTTGCAGACATGTGCAGAGTGATAAAAAATTTGAAGTTGCCCATCATGCATGTTACCAGCTAAGGTCAAACACGGTGTCACTCTGCCTTCTGGTGTCAGCTTTCATATTATAAAGTGTCCTTTTCACAATCTCTTTAGTGCCACACTTTTTTGTATTTTTGTGCTTTTTGGGTGATTTTGCTGTTGAAAATGGCCCCCAAGCACAGTGTTGAAGTGCTGTCTAGTGTCTGTAGTGCAAGAAGGCTATGATAGAGAAAATACATGTGTTAGATAAGCTTCATTCAGTCATGACTTATGCAGCTATTGGCTGTGAGTTCAATGTTAATGAATCAACAATAAGGCACATCCAAAACTAGGAAGAGGAAATTCACCAGTCTCTACATGTGGCCACTCCAGAAATGTTAAAAGTGTCAGGGGAAACTCTGAAACTGACTGCCCTGGCCAGGCAAGATAGTAGCCACTTTTATGAGTTACAACAGGAGGTCCTGGTAAGGAATGCGGAACAAGCTACCACCAACTGGAAGAATTCGGGAAAGGTCAAAAGGAGAAAGGAGACATCAGTCCATATGTCCATCCAACCTCCCAGAATCCTTCTCACTGGAATCCATCTTGGCTGAGCAATGCGTGTGCCAACAGGAAGGACCCTGAATCAGAATGACTGGCCAGAGACAACCCAGAAACTAACCCCATTTCCATAAAACCCGAGATTGCAAGCCACATGGCAGAGCAGTTCTCCTGGTTTCCCTTACCCTGTTGCTCTCCACATGGGGAACCCCTTCCCAATAAAGTCTCTTGCTTTGTCAGCATGTGTGTCTCTTCAGACAATGCATTTCCGAGTGTTAGACAAGAGCCCACTCTCGGGCCCTGGAAGGGATCCCCCTTCCTGCAACAAAAGTAACATCTATAGTAGAGTAATGAATCTAAGAAAAAGATGGAAAAGTGGCAAAAGCTGTGGATTCATGAGATGAAGACCGACTAAAAAAAAACAAAACAAAACTGTACAAGACAGCATTGAAAATACCCACTCCAACCTAAACGATCTTTTCATACCCCTAAATACTACATGTTATCCAACCTCTCAATCAGGACATAATAAAAGCACAACATGAGGGAGCTTTTTAGCAAAGTTCTCAACACCAACAAAGAAACCACCATGGGACTTCCCTGGAAGTCCAGTGTTTCCACTGCAGGGGGTGTGGGCTCAATCCCTGGTCAGGGAACTAAGATCCCACGTGGTGCATGGTGTGGCCTAAATAAATAAATAAAAGAAACCACCATGATGAACTACTGGATGTCCATCACTATATGCACTGTTATTGTGTTGGCACAGCCTGGGATAATAACAAGCAGACTACTATCATTAACTGTTAGGAAAATGCTTGGCTAGACTGCCTGAAAATTTTCAAAGGCTTTGAAGGTGTTACAGAAAATATAAAGGACAGTGTCAAACACATAATGCATATCACATGGCATATAAGTAAAAAAGGCTTCAATGACATGACGGAAGACATGGAAGAAATTCTGGCAGAGAAGGAAGTGGAACCCACCAACAAAGACCTGGAAGAAATGGCAAAACAAGGCAACAACCTCTCCTTTGGTTTTCCTGGGTTAAGCCAAGGTCAGGAGATAAATCCACTCAGTGCACTGCCCCATCACACATCCTACAGTTCTATCAAAATCAGAGTTTTAGTTAATATTTTTAATTTTGGTTAATTTTTAATTGTTTCTGGGACTTTCTTTGCATGACTGTACTGTAGAGCAGTGTACTGTAGAGTGTTTACATGTTTATTTTATATGAGTACTGCATATGTGTATTGTTTGTGTGTATGACTGAGTGAAAGTTAAAGCAGTACAGTAACAATATACAAAAATGATATAATTAAAGTATTTTTTATTATAATGAAATATTGGATGTAACATAAAAAACATTTATTAAACAAGGTGTCTTTAAAAACAGAAAACAATTCCATAAAAGATTATGTATTGGGACTTCCCTGGTGGCGCAGTGGTTAAGAATCCGCTGCCAATGCAGGGGACATGGGTTCAATCCCTGCTCCGGGAAGATCCCACATGCCGCAGAGCAACTAAGCCTGTGTGCCACAATTACTTAGGCCGCATGCCACAACTACTGAAGCCTCCATGCCTAGAGCCCGTGCTCCGCAACAACAGAAGCCACCGCAATGAGAAGCCCATGCACTACAACGAAGAGTAGCCCCCGCTTGCCACAACTAGAGACAGCCCATACACAGCAACAAAGACCCAATGCAGCCAAAAAAAAAAATAATTAAAAAAAAAAATAAAAAGATTACATACTGATTGGTTGATGAAAATGTGAACAGAGGCTCACAGGAACTTAAATCTGTATTGCCACTAGGAGCAATGGTTCAGTATTCACTAGTTCAGTGTTTGTGGTGAATTTATAGAATATAACTACCATGAATTAGAAGAATTGACTGCATATGTAGGTGTGTATGTATATGTATTTCATGACTCAGGCCTTATATTCAAGGGTAGACATGACAGTGTTTTGTAACAAAGAACTTTTTTTTTTTTCTTTTTTGCAGTATGCGGGCCTCTCACTGTTGTGGCCTCTCCCACCGCGGAGCACAGGCTCCGGACGCGCAGGCCCAGTAGCCATGGCTCACGGGCCCAGTCGCTCCGAGGCACGTGGGATCTTCCCGGACCGGGGCACGAACCCGTGTCCCCTGCATCGGCAGGCGGACTCTCAACCACTGCGCCACCAGGGAAGCCCTGTAACAAAGAACTTTTAATAAATGTTAGCAGAGCTGCCCCAATGGTCCAATTCTCCTGACTATGGATATATAAGAAAACACATAAAGGTGATGAGGCCTTTTGATCTCTCCCTCTTCATCCCCTCTGCATGTGCACACACACAATTGACAAATTGTCATAGCTTGGCAGGGAGATCAGAAAGCAGCCACACATGCATTTCTTTCCTTTCTCCTACATCTCTTTGTTCTTTTAAAATACTCTTGAGATGGATCTACAGTATAAACATAGGAAGAACTGTTGCTGACATTTTCCTCAGATGCATGACAACCAGAGTCTCTCTCGTGGATGATTCTCAGGTGTAGTGTAGAGCTGCAGGCTGGGTCAATTTCTAGTATGACCCTTTAGATGACCTGCCACAAAAAGCTTTCACAGAGATGACAATTATGATGTTTCTCTTCAGATACTGAGTAAGATATTTCTCTGGCCAAAAGACTTCCCTGAATAGTTATACTCAAAAGGAAAGGTATTTCACCAGTATGAGTTCACTAAAATTGACCGAAGTGAACACATTTGCAAAAGGCCTTGTTACATCTTTTAAACTCTGGTGTGAATCTTTCGATGGTGAATGAAGGATGAACTATGGCTGAAGGCCTTCCCACATTCACCACATTCAAAGGGTTTCTCTCCAGTGTGAGTTCTCATGTGTTGAGTTAAGGCAAAGTTATCACAAAAGGCCTTTTCACATTCTTTGCACTCATAGGGTTTTTCTCCAGTGTGGATCCTATTATGCCGAACAAAATTTGCAGGTTGGGTAAAGGCCTTTCCACATTCTCTGCATACATAAGGCTTTTCTCCAGTGTGAATCCTCATGTGACGAGTAAAGGAAGAGCTATAGTAAAATGCTTTTGCACACTCTTTACATTCCAAGGGTTTTTCTCCACTATGGGTCCTATTATGTCGGATAAAAACAGAATGGTGTGTAAAGGCCTTTCCACATTCACTGCACTCGTAGGGCCTCTCACCAGTGTGAATCCTCATGTGTTGAATTAAGGAAGAGCTGTCACAAAAGGCTTTCCCACATTCTTTGCACTCAAAGGGCTTCTCTCCAGTATGGGTCCTCTTATGCCGAATGAAAGTGGAGCGGTGAGTAAAGGCCCTTCCACATTCGCTGCACTCATAGGGTTTCTCTCCAGTGTGAATCCTCATGTGTTGAGTGAAGGATGAGTTCAGGCAGAAAGCTTTTCCACATTCTTTGCACAAAAAGGGTTTTTCACCTGTGTGGGTCATATTATGCTGGATAAAAGTGGAGCGGTGAGTAAAGGCCTTTCCACATTCACTGCACTTGTAAAGTTTCTTTCCAGTGTGAATCCTCATGTGTTGAGCAAAGGAAGAGCTGTAGTAAAAAGCTTTCCCACATTCTTTGCACAAAAAGGGCTTTTCTCTAGTGTGAGTCATATTATGCTGGATGAAAGAGGAGCGGTGGGTGAAAGCTTTACCACATTCTTTGCACTCATAGGGCTTGTCTCCAGTGTGAATACGCTGGTGCTCTGTGAGGTGAGACCTACGTTTGAAGGCCTTCCCACATTCAATACACTTGTATGGCTTTTCCCCAGTATGAAACCTCATATGTCGAATGAAGTCTGCCATATAACGACAAGCTTTCCCACATTCACTGCATTCATAACGCTTCACTCCAGCGTGAATCTGTTGATGCCGAACAAGGGCCCAATTCTTGCTAAAACCTTTTCCACATTCCTTGCATCTGTAGAGATTATTCCTTGCATCAATAACAGGGTCTCCTCCCGGTTCTTGGGAATCACATTCATGCAGAGCATCTCGTGTAGTGACTCGCTCCTGTAAAACCCTTAAATAAAGACTATCATCTGTCTCAAAGTCATCATGTTTATGGCTCAACTTCCTAGGGCATGTCTCCTTGTGGATGTCTGTTCCTGGCCTCAAGTTCCCTTCCTGCATTTCTGACAGTTTTTCCTGATCCCTTGCTTGCTCCAGCCTGGAATGCCTTGAGGCTCCATGTGTCATTCGTTCCTCAAAAGGGGCTCCCTCAGTGAGGACCAGGTGAGAAGCAGTAAGCTCTGTGATCTCAGGTTTTGCTTTTTCACCTGAAGGAAATCCAATATAAGAAAGGTGCCTATTAGTGATGTCAACATAGAACAAAATAAATTACCACTTTAGTGGAAGAATGAAGGTGAAAATAAAGCTTCTACTGTCTATGGCATTTTTACATCTTTTAAACCCAGGTTTAAAATTTCTTTCTTTACTGATCCTTGGACTCTTGACATCTTTAAAAGGTAACCCAGGAGGAAAATCTGGTGCAGAATAGAAAATCTGGAGTGGAGACTCCTCTTCACTCTCCAGAATGGGGGAGGGTGGACAGAGTAATGATAATGACTGTGATCCAACATCTCATAGTGCTATGACAGCACAGGGAAGGTGGACCTAACTTGGCCCAGATGGAAGACAGAAAGAGGTCAGTGGAGGCTACCTGGACAAGGTGCTACATGAGCTTATTTCTAAAGATGAGTAGGAATTCCCTGACAGAGGAATTAGGAGAAAAATTGTAGCAGATGACTGAAAGTACAAAGGTTCGGGGTTTTGAGAGAATGTTGAATGCCAGGCAAAGAGAAGAGGATGACAGGATGGTGGAGAGGGGGGCAGGGGAAGAGGAGAAACAAAATCTTAGGATTCTGGAGTGTGTGAAAGTTGGAGCAGGGGCAGTGATAAGCAACTGGGTGCAAATATTGAGTCTATTATATCTAGTAAAGACTAGGTGAACAAACTCAAAATAGATAACATTTAGATGAAGTAAACCAGAAAACATATCACATTAATGAAGATTTACATGAAAAGAGATTAATAATATAAAGTTGCCAATTTCCCTCAAATTCATCTATAAATTTAATACAACTTCAGATAAATCCCAGTAGGGTTTTTCATGGTTATTGGAAAGCTGATTGTGGAATTTATATAAAATAACAGAGAGACCAGGATATCTCTGAAGAAGAACAAAGCAAGGGGACTTGCCCTTTGAGGAATTAGGATTATGATGAAATCATATACACCAAGGCAGTGTGATGTAGCATAGATATAAGATAAGCTGTCAAACTGTCAAAGGAAAAAACAGAATTGGGAGCTCAGAAATATATATATGGAACTTTGATATATGACAAAAGCAGCACAGATGCCAGTGGAAAAAGGAAGGAATACAGGAAGTCCCCTACATACGAACCTTCAAGTTGTGAACTTTCAAAGATGCGAACATGGAGCTTACTAATGAAGACTGGATGGAATTGGAGGCTCAGAGAAAGAATGAAGAGAGAAAACAGGAAGAAGAAGTAACTGAAGAACCAAAGATTCATGACGCAGGAAATGGCAAGGGAATTTTCTTTATTTGAGGAGGCACTGTTAGTTTTTGAGGCACAGGACCCAAACGTAAACAGTACACAAAGGTTGCAGCAGCCATTCAGAATGCAATCCAGTGCTACCGTGTCATCTATGACAAGAAAAAAATAGCTACTATCCAGACATCATTGGAACATTTTTTTCAAGAGGGTAGACAGAACTGAATCCAGCACGGAACCAGAACCTGTGCCATCAACGTCAGGTGTGAGTGAAATTGCAGCTTGCCCTTCTCCTATTGCTGATGATCCTTCAGCTCTACCATCTCCCACCTCCTCCAGTCAGTAACTCTTCTTGCCAGTTCACTCTATGCCAGCTCCTGTATACCAGCTGTTGTACTATACTACTGCACTTTTCAAGGTACTGTACTGTAAGATTTAAAATGTTTTCTTTATTTTTTGTTTGTGTTTGTTTTTTATGTATTATTTGTGTGAGAAGTCTTGTAAACCTATTACAGTACAGTGCTATATAGCTAATTGTGTTAGTTGGGTACCTAGGCGGACTTACAAACAAATTGGACTTATGAACGTGCTCTTGGAACAGAACTTGGTCATATGTAGGGGGCTTGACTGTATTCAATAAATGGATGTAGAAAAATTATTTGCCACAATGGAAGAAAATGAAATTGTATTTCTACCTTGTACAAAACAAAAAATTAATTCCAGACTGATTAAGACTTAACTGTTAGAAACTAAAGATTAACAACTTTTAACAAATAGTGAAAATGACTATCTTTTAGATCTTGGGGAAAAGGAAGATTTCATAAACATACAGAAGCATTCTTTATAAAAGGCTAATCAATCTGACTAAACTAAATATAATTTTTAAAAAGGTAAACAAAGAAAGATGGCTATATTAACATCAGGATTATATTAACATCAGATAACAGACTACAGAGCAAAGAAAATGGGACAAAGAGGGACATTATATAATGATAAAAAGATTAATCCACCAGGAAGACATAACAATCCTAAATCTGTATGTACCAAATATAAGAGCCTCAAAATATACAAACCAAAAACTGAGTTGAAAGGAGAAATAGACAAAACTACAATTACAGCTGGGGACTTCAACACTCCACACCCAAAATGAAAACAGCATATTATGAACTGATATTTCACAGATGTATAATGGCCAATCAACACATGAAGAGATAACTCAAATTTCTTAGATATGAGGGAAGGGCAAATTAAGACTACAGTGAGAGACCATTTTATATTCACCTGATTGAAAAAAACTTATCAAGTGTTAGAGAGGGTATGGATCCATGGAATTGTTCATACAAGGCAGGTGAAGTGTAAGTGGGTATAAATAACCATTTCAGAAAACAACAGGGCATCATCTAGTAAAGTTCTCCTTTTGCTTAATTTATAATCCCCAAATTCTAGTCCTAGGAATATTACTAAGAGAAATTCCTACACATGTTTGTGAGAACACGCACATGTGAATTTTCATGGCTGTATTGTCTGTGGGTACAAAAAATTAGAAACAAGAAAATTCCCATGAAAATGGATGAATACATTGTGTTATACTCATATAAATGACTACAGAAGAAAAAAATGAATAAACTATAGCTTCATGCATCATGAATCTTAGTAATGTACTGTTAAATGGAAAGTACAAATCCTATACAACAACATAAATGGATACTTTTTATAGTATTCAAATAAAAAAGCAAAACATACACACACAAGTACGATGAACAATCTTTATTTTTTTGAGAATGTCAGTTGTTTTTGTTTTTGTTTTTGTTTTGCGGTACGCGGGCCTCTCACTGTTGTGGCCTCTCCCATTGCGGAGCACAGGCTCTGGACATGCAGACTTAGTGGCCATGGCTCACGGGCCCAGCCGCTCCATGGCATGTGGGATCTTCCCGGACGGGGGCACGAACCTGTGTCCCCTGCATCGGCAGGCGAACTCTCAACCACTGCGCCACCAGGGAAGCCCGAGAATGTCAGTTTTTAATGGCATTATAAAAATGATATGTACAATACATACCTAAAATTTAAATTGTGGTAAAATATACATAACATAAAATTTACCATTTTGAGATGAAACCATCTCAAAAAGTAATGGATAGAATAATTAGATGAAGTGGACAAATTCCTTAAAAGACTCAAATTACCAAAACTGATACAAGAAAAAACAATATCTGAATAGCCCTGTATTTACTCAAAAAACAAATTTTGGTATGAACTGAATGTTTGTGTTCCACCAAAATTCATGTGTTGAAGCCCTAACCTCCAATGTGTATTTGGAGATAGGGACTTTACAGAAGTAATTAAGGTTAAATGAGGTCATAAGGGTAGGGACCTGAGAGGATTAGTATCCTTATAAGAAGATACACCAAGGGACTTCCCCGGTGGTCCAGCGGTTAAGACTCCTCACTCCCAATGCAGGGGGCCCGGGTTCGATCCCTAGTCAGGGAACTAGATCTTGCATGCTGCAACGAAAGATCCCTCATGTCGTAACTAAAGATCCCTCATGCTGTAACTAAAGATCCCGCACACCACAACTAAAGATTCTGCATGCCACAACTAAAAGATTCCCACATGCCGGAACTAAAGATCACGCATGCTGCAACGAAGATCCTGCACGCAGCAATGAAGATCCCACGTGCCGCAACTAAGACCCAACGCAGCCAAATAAATAAATAAATAAATATTAAAAAAAAAAAAAAAAAGAAGAGACACCAGAGAACTCTCCTTCTCTTCCCCACCACCCCCAGCACCACACACCACACCTAGGAAAGGCTGTGGTCTCTTTGTCTTCATATAAGAACACTAATCCCATCATGGGTGCTCCATCCTCATGACCTCATCTAAACCCAGTCACCTCCCAAAGGTCCCACATCTTAATTTCATCACATTGGGGGTGTTAGGGATTCAACATACAAATTTTGGGAGGACACAGACATTCAGTTCATAACAAGGTTACATGAGAAAATGTAAATCAATCATCACAGTACATGGCAGGTGTTCTGTAAATTTTAGACCACTGTCTCCTATCATTATCACAGTTGTTGCATTTGTCCATCAGAATGTCAATAATAACCTGTAAGAACATTTTTAGTACTGTGGTGCTGAGAAATACCCCTACTCAAAGAGTAAAGGGGCAGATACCACCTGCTCACTAGTATCTGAAGCAATGAGGACTCTTACACATGTCTGGTGGGAATGTGAAATGGTGCAGTCACTTTGAAACTGACTGATGGCTTCTTTTAAAGCTAATCATGTAACTACACCATGATCCAGCCAGTCCACTCGTATGTATACTCCCAACAGAAATGCATGCTTATAGCCAACAAAAAATATGATCAAGAATATTCATAGCAGCATTCTTCATAATATTCCAAAAATGGAGAACAGCCAAATGTCCATCAACAGGAAAACAGGTATATATAATCTATTAATTCATTGAGATATTGCACAGCGAGAAACTAACTCCAAATATATGCAACCACATGGGTGAATTCCAGAGTCATAATGATTATCAAAAGAAGACAGAGATAGCAATATTTTGTAGTGTGGAGTTCCATTTATAAACCTTCAAAACTAATCTATGGTGACAGAGTCTAAACACTGGTTACTTTTGTAGAAGGGGATATTAATAAGAAGGGAAGTACAAAAAGCCTGAGAGGTGATGGAAATACTATATTTCTTATCCTGTGTGGTGGATACTTTGGCTTATATATATGTAAAATTTCATAATGATGAACTTTAAGATTTGTACATTCACTATGTGTAAATTACCCCTCAGTACAAAAATTACAGAAAATAGTAAAGGGGAGGTCTGTGTAGATGTCTCTTCTGAGAATGAGAAAAGTCCTTGAAGAAGCTTGGTAGTTCAGCTGAAATAGAGTCAACAACTTTTGGAGGGCACTGGAGATCCAAGAGCATTTTTTTTTTTTTTAATGTTTCCCTCAAGTGTCAGAAACTTGACCACGTTTTTTATGTTGAGTAGAGAGAAGATGGAGATATACAAGAGGTAGGAAATAAATGAAGATGCACATTCCCTGATGCGGACAGACTCATGTATGGTTCCCCATAATCCCTGCCTCATGGTGTTCACACAGTTTTGATACCCTCTGCCTGAATCCTAGCAGGACCTTGATTTACTTCTAAAGAATAGAATATAACAAAGGTGACAGAATGTAAGATGTAAGAGATAAAGTATATGTGTAAGATCTCTCTTGCTGGAGTCTCTCACACCATTACTTGATTTGAAGAAGTAAGCTGAAAATATTTGCAAATGAATTAGAAAATATTTGCAAATGAATCAACTGACAAAGGATTAATCTCCAAAATTTACAGGCAGCTCATGCAGCTCAATAACAAAAAAATAAACAACCCAATCCAAAAATGGGCAGAAGACCTAAATAGACATTTCTCCAAAGAAGATATACAGACTGCCAACAAACACATGAAAGAATGCTCAACATCATTAATCATTAGAGAAATGCAAATCAAAACTACAATGAGATATCATCTCACACCAGTCAGAATGGCCATCATCAAAAAATCTAGAAACAATAAATGCTGGAGAGGGTGTGGAGAAAAGGGAACACTCTTGCACTGCTGGTGGGAATGTGAATTGGTTCAGCCACTATGGAGAACAGTATGGAGGTTCCTTAAAAAACTACAAATAGAACTACCATATGACCCAGCAATCCCACTACTAGGTATATACCCTGAGGAAACCAGAATTCAAAAAGAGTCATGTACCAAAATGTTCATTGCAGCTCTATTTACAATAGCCCAGAGATGGAAACAACCTAAGTGCCCATCGTCGGATGAATGGATAAAGAAGATGTGGCACATATATACAATGGAATATTACTCAGCCATAAAAAGAAACGAAATTGAGCTATTTGTAATGAGGTGGATAGACCTAGAGTCTGTCATACAGAGTGAAGTAAGTCAGAAAGAGAAGGACAAATACCGTATGCTAACACATATATATGGAATTTAAGAAAAAAAAAATGTTATGAAGAACCTAGGGGTAAAACAGGAATAAAGACACAGACCTACTGGAGAACAGATTTGAGGATATGGGGAGGGGGAGGGGTGAGGTGTGATAGGGCGAGAGGGGGACATGGACATATATAGATTAACAAACGTAAGGTATATAGCCGGTGGGAAGCAGCCGCATGGCACAGGGATACCAGCTCGGTTCTCTGTGGCTGCCTGGAGGGGTGGGATAGGGAGGGTGGGAGGGAGGGAGACAAAGAGGGAAGAGATATGGGAACATATATATATGTATAACTGACTCACTCTGTTATAAAGCAGAAACTAACACACTTGAAAAGCAATTATACCCCAATAAAGATGTTAAAAAAAAAAAAAAAAAAAAGAAGCTGACATGTTGCAAGCAGCCTACGACTGCAGCTTTGCAGAGGACCCAGCTAAGCTGTGCCTGGATTTCTGATCCACAGATGAGAGATAATACATGAGTGATATTTTAATATTAAATAATGAGTGATTTTTAATATTGCTATATAGCAACAGATAACTAATACACCTGAGAAGGTAAGTGAAGGTATGACCTAGACGCTGCTTGGGGAATTAGCCATGGCTGGGGATGAGAACTCTTCTGAGAGGTGAGAAGGAACCCACAGGGATAAATCAGTAAGGGTTAGAAGGCAAGAAAAACAAGTGAATGGCCTTTATTTTCAAAATGAACTAGGTCATATGCTGAGATCTCAGTGGCTAGGGAGGTGGTGATATTTGGAATAAGGTGTGAGTAGACGGGGAAGTGGATGTAAGACATAAAGCTGATCAGAGGCACAGAGCAGATATGGGGGGGACCAGTTAGGAATCTGTTAGCATCATGCAGGCAAAAGATGATTATAGCCTGGACTAGGGTGATAGTGCTGGAACTGATAGAATTGGTGGAGACGATGGATTCAGGAGAAATGTATGATGAAATATGATCAAGATTCAGGGATGGCTGGATATTGGGAATGATGAAAATGGTGGTGTTGAGGGGTTGTTCAAGTTTGTTTTTGGCTTTCTCAACTTAGTGAATGGCAAGGCCATGAATTGAAATGGGAAGACGAGAGGAGTGGGCAAGATCATGAGGTCCTTTTTAGGCATGATGGGTGTGAAGTGCCTTTGAAACATTCAAGTGAAGATGGAGAACTGCGGGAAGGGGTGAAGGCTTGAGACAGACTCAGCAGGGCTGAGGAGGCGCTGGCCAGAGATACTCACTGGCTGGCTGAGCAGCCTGAAGGAACCCTAGTGGGGAGAGATCATGAATCTGTGTCAGTGCTATCCACACACTTGAAGTGGAGCTGACAAAGGCAAATGTCCCCTTGAGGTTTTACAAGACAGAAGGGTAGGAAGATGACAAGGCTAGGGACTGCTTCTGAACATCTCATTTACAAATGGAAGGATGGATGCATGCAGGGATGTATAGATAAATAAATGATTGGATGCAGATAGAAAAGAGTGGGAATGCAAAGTATAGTTGGAGGTAGTAATCTGCAGAAAAAGAAAGGACTGTCTTTTCTGAATCTGGAAGGAAGTTTGAGATATCATTGTTCTCTATTCATTATGAGTAATAATATATGAATATTACTAGTAGGTAAATTTATTAAGCCACTAACTTTGGGTCAGGCAATGTCCTAATAAGCAGTTTCAAGTTATCTAATTACACTCCCAAACAATACAGTGATGCAGAAACTATTATTACTCTATCTTTTTCTAATATAGGCTAAGTTTAGCAAACTGAGTATATGTTCATCATATCCCTGGTATTTTGTCCTTGGGCACAAAGCTAAACCACATTTCTATGACAAAACACGTAGCCTAGTGCCCAGTTCTTGTCAATGGAATGTGAATGGAAGTGACTATGTATGCAAGTGGATATGACTACTCCTCTTCTCTCCTGTTCCTCTTGGCCAGCTGGATGATGCCAGGGCCACCTTACAGCCACATACTGACAACAGAATACACCTGGGTCCCTGAATAGATATGTGGTACAGAGCTCCCCTGCTGACCCACATTATACCATGGCACAAATGAGAAACAGTCTTAACCAGTTGACCGACCAAGATTTTGGAGTTATCTCTTATAGCAGGTAGCACCAACTCAGCCTTGAGTTGATATCAAAGGCACAGGGAGATCATGCAACTTCCCCAGGGTCATGAGGCTAGTAAGTGGCCAAGTTTACAGCCCATCTCTTACCCAGTATACCACATTTCAACCCTAGTAAAGGCAAAGAGTGTGATGGGATTGGGAAGACAGAGGAAACACAGTTCAAAGTGCTCCATGACCACCTAAGACCCCAGGAAGGCTGCAAAAAGAAACTGCCCATGGAATTTCAGACACAGTCATTCCCTGGTAGTCTGCCAGCTGCCATGCCACCCACCTGTACAGGTGCTTCTGGAGAGGCCTCTCTTCACTGTCCTTAGTTCTTGCCCATGCTCCAGTAGGTGAATCAGCTCTGGTTTGGGAACAGGATGCCCTGTGCATGGAGAAATAAATGGGGCATGGGTATACAGGTAAAGACAAAAGGAAAACTCTCAAGTATACTGGAGTGTACACCTTTAACACACCACCATGAAACCCCAGAAAGGGGATGACTCCTTCCAGAAGGTTTTCCCTAATTAAATCAATAAGATTCAACCTTCCCATGCATCAGAACTACTTAGACTTGCCTGGTTCTAAACACAGAACAAATTAAACCAAATATCTGGGCATAAAAACTGAGCTCTGGTTGTTTTCAAAGCTCCCCAGGTGATTCTGGTGCCCAAGGATGGCTAAAAACACTAGACTAACTCAACTGATAGTCAGTTATCTGAGGTAGGCCATGACCTAAAATTGCTACCCATTCTTAAGAAAAAGCCTTCAATCCAGGTTGGGAAGACAGGGCTGAACGTGGGGACCTGCTGCCTTACTTGCTGCTGCATCATCCTGTGGCCACTTCAAGGATGCTGGCCTGATGATCTGGACCAAGGAGAGAAAGCAGACAGAGACAACTGGGTTGGTAGATACCAACCCAGGAGCCAGCACCACCTCAGGGCTTCTCATTAGGTGAAATAATAAACTTTTTTCAGGGTGAAACCTGTATGAGGTGGTTTTCTGGTACATGCAGCCATGTATGTACCAAATATATTTTGCCAAATTCGAAGGCTAAGGGACAGGAGGACTCTGGAGAGAAGTCAATGACTTAGAAACCAGGACCACAGAAACTCTGATTAGAAAATCCTGTACTGCAAGCCAGAGTGCACCCAGCTGTCACTGAGCTAATGTTCACTAATGTCTGCCATACGCCTGGCACCAAGCTCAGTGATGGGGCCGTGGAAAAGGAGAACCAGATATTCCTTCGCCTCTGTTGGACCTGAGCTCCAAGTCCCTCAGGGACTTGGCTCGTGTTGGTCCCTCCACCTGGAATACTATTCCCCAGATGTCTCCTTTCAACAACTAATCACAGTTGTCATAAAATAACACTGGATTTACTTCACTGATGACTGACCTCCTGGGAGAGACTATGTGGTCACAAGGCTGGGACAGCCCTGTCAGAGGTAACCATTTCTGGATAAAGTGGACATTTAAGGTTTAGGTGGGAGAACACTTGGGATTTATTAATTTATTATATATAACAAATGCATGTGTGGCACTTGCTATGTTCCCAGTTCTATTCTAAGCACTTTAAAGATACTAGTTCACTGGGGCTAAGTGGAAGGTTACTATAAAAATATGATAAAACAAAAATAATCATGGTCCCAGCAAGCTCATGCTGCCGACTCAAGTCTGTGAGTCCTGCGACTGTTCTTTCTGCTGAAGGGGAAATCAGCCAACAGCCATGTGAACACTAAAGACTCAGCACTAAGCCCAGACTCTCTCAACAACAGTCAAGAGGCAGGAAAGAAGGGAAAAAGAAATAGCCTTCTCAGATGCCCATCAATGCTATTTAAAAATATGTCTGTGTACTCTCTAAAATTAACTCCCATAGCCTCAGAGAAGCAAGGCACAGGCCTTAGGACATAAGGGACGACTGTGCAGGTACCAGGGGTCAAAGAAGTCTTTTAGCTGAGATTGTGTTGCTTAGAAAGATACCAGTAGCACTGATGACAAATAGCTTCCTGTCTGTCTAATTCATCATGTTCTTGGAGAACGTCCCATTAACCACAGGTCCTGTTAACTGGGCAGTGAGGACATTTGACCCAATCAAGCTGAATTCCAGATCATGGGAATCTGGAATAAGAATGTCAGATTGAGGTCAGCTTATGTTGGACACTTGGGTAAAAGTGTTGAGAAGAACTGCGTTTGTTGTACAACAATCCTTGATGCAGACAAGGAAACCAAGCAAGAGGAGGTTAGATAAGAACATGCTGGGGCTGGAGGGAGAAGGGAAGGCAGATTCCTCAGGTCTTCTCAACCAGCCATGCTTAGAGAGACAGAGTGGAATGAAAGAGGCCACACAGGTGAGGCCTTACCCAGTGAGACCAGGAGGCCACAAGTCTCCAGCATCACCTCCTGGTATAAGGTCCTCTGGGCCAGGTCCAGATGTCTCCATTCCTCCCCAGTGAAGGTTACGGCCACATCTTCAAATGATACCAATGCCTGGAAAGTCAAACAGAAGTGGTGGGGTGCCTGTATGAGTCTACTGCTTGGTTAGTGGCAAAAGTCCAGAGAGACCCAAGGCCTGAATCACTGAGTATCTCCTGAGAACCAAGGTCTGTGCTGGGCTCAGGAGGGAGGCAGATGGTGCCTTTGACAGAATACAAAGGTGCAGGAGAGAAAAGCTGCCTATATGGGAATCCACTGGAGAGTGACACAAAACAGTGGTAATCTTGTGTGGACTGTGAGTCCATTACTGTAATTCAAGTAATGATAACACAGCAGCAGCTGAGCCTCACTGGTCTGCACTGTTTGCCTGCACCTAAGGGCTTTAGATGCTGTGTTAAAGCAACTAAAAGTCTCTAGGTCTGGAGCTAGACTTCCTGGGGCTTAAATCCAGCCTTTTGACGCTAATTTCTTTGAGCCTCAATTTCCACATTACCAACTTCACCATGTTGTTGTGGGAATTTAAGTGAAAATGTTCATAAAGCAAACACTGCAGTGCCCAGCACATGTCAGTGCTCAGTGTGTATTTGTGAATTTCATTAATCCTCCTGCAGTCCATGGGGTAAACACCATCACTGTCTCCATTTCACACTCAGCAAATGGGGACTCAAAGTCAAGCTGCCCAGAGTCATATGTCTAATGAGAAGGGGCAAGATTTGAAACCAGGTCCCTCTGGTTCAGCCATGGTGGGGGAGTTAGATTTAAGTATGATGGGAGCCCCAGATGGTAGAATCTTTCATTCATCAACTGCTTACTGAACACCTGGTACAGGCCCAGCACTCTTCTAAGCCTGGGGATAAAGCAAAGAACAGGACTCACACTCTTGTCAAGGAAAGATCCTTGACAAGAAACTAAATAAATGATCAAGATAAAGTCATATGGCCCTAAGGGCTCCGAAAAAAACCCCAAAAGTGAGTGAGATGACTACAAAGATTATGGGAGACTTTATGATACGGGAGACTTTAGATGGGGCAACTGGGGAAGACCTCTCTGAGTGGATGTGGAACAAGGCTGGAATGAAGTTAGGGAGCAAGTCAGGTGAGGAAAAATGGGTAAATAAGAGAAGTTCTGAAGGTGATCTGAGCTATGATGAGAGCAAACTAGGTGGCATGCTGAAGAATAACTTAAGGCCTGTCCATGTGTTTACATGCCCTGAGACACAACATTCCTATGCACTGTCATTAAGGAATACTGTAATGGATTCACTTTTCAAATATAAGTAATGTGCTAGGAAAATGGGTTCACTGCCATAAGTGGCAAGCCAACTTCACTTGTAGTATCCAGATGGCATCTGCAAAGATAAATTCAGTGACTGGCTTGTCTTCTGGCCTGTCCAGGGAACTTCTACTCCTATTAGAGGAGCAGCAATTCCAAAAACGCTGCTCCCACCACACCTCTGCTCTAGAGGCTCTCTCATCCCAGTCTCCCAGCTTTCAGCTGGGTTGAGGCCCGAGGCAGGGAGGCCTGAGGGTCAGACTCCACCTGGGTGTGAGACTAAGATAATAGCAGGACCAGGAGGGTCCCTCTCTGGAAACCACATCAAGAGTGGTCTGGGTCCCTCTCTGGGTCCTGCTGAGCACTGAAGGACACACATCACACACATATCCTCTCCAGTTCCCTCAACCGAAAGAGAAAAATAGTTGATAGCCCAATTTTAGACCCGAGAGAATGGAGGCCAAGGGAATGGAGGCCAATCGACAAGCTCAAGGTTAGAGCCAGAAATGGGTGCCTCTCCACACCTGAACCCCTGGCCCGGATTCAGAAGCCTGGGTTGGAAGTGATTAGCACTGTCGTTCCCACACCCCATTCTCATTGGACCTCCAGATCCGAGAGTATTAAGAGGGAAAGGCGAAAGGTCCCGGGATTCCCTATATCATAGCGAGTGGAACTGTGCTGACCAGCGACCCCAGCGCACATGGGCCTGCGGAACCCTCCACTCACCAGCTCCGGCGCCGCCATGGGGCCCACTGGGCAGAGCGGGACGACGAGAGGCGGCGACAAAAGCCTGTCCAGCGGGCTCAGCCGACTCCTCAGGCAAGCCCTGGGCGGGGGCACCTGGGACCTGAGTGTCCGCGGTGTGGGATGCGCACAAGGCCCCGGGAGCCGCCTCCGGGACCTGAGGAGACCGAAAGCTGAGGCCGAGCTCGGAGAGTGCTCGGCTGACAACCCGCTCGAGGGGGGGGGGGGGGG